TAAATACACAGCTGTAAGCAGATGCAGCTCAGTGTCAGTCCACAGCACAGACAGGTCCTGTACCAGTGGTGAGCATGGGTCATTGCAAGTGTCACCTTCCAAAGTAGGTTCAGAATTGTATCCAGTGTTGGGCATCATCACAATATCTTCCAATATGATGTATGTTATGATACTGGTGGCTTTCTGGGACCTGCAAAAATCAAAAATGCTTCTCCTAAACTTAGTACACTTTGCTGCACCGAATGACAACAGAAAAATGTCCTGCTACATCTTCCAGTCCTGGGTTTGCTTAGCTAAACCAGGTCTGGGGCTAAAATAGAACAGACAATTGGTTGACAACCCAGGTTTGTCTCACTAAAGGTGACATTACCCAAAACGCAATTTGCTGAGGCGATTCCTGAACTGACAGCCCACTGTGCAGTGCCCAGTAAAGCCTGAAACACACACTGTATGTAAGAAACTGTGCCCAGGCTTTTTTCCGAGACCTTTTTGGCCTTGTGCATTGAAAGAACATGAATGAGGCTATCACGTGCCAGGGTGTTACTAGCTTAACACGGACATGTTGTGTATCTCTGAGAGTCCTCCTCCTTGTGCTGCCCCCTCGGGGTCTGGTGTCTGCTGTGTCTGCTGGCTGCTCTCAGAGGATGCCTTTCCAGCCAGCTGCCTCTGCTGCAGGGAGATTTACACAGTGTCTATATGACTGCCAGCTATAGACTTGATAATACCTAAACACCTACTTCTCACCTCTTTAGGTGAAATGGGTTAAATCCATATGTTTAACTTTTATTTTTCCACATTCTAGAGCACATAAATACACACCAGATGTGTGTAAGAGGGGATGAACAGACAGCGAAAAGCTATATCAGAGCCTGCCTTTACATCTCCAGCTGCTTCTAAGGATGCTTTTGCACTGGTTGGTACCGGTTGGTTGCTCCCACTCATGGGGCCCTGAGGAAGCAGCTCTGTGTCCAGACATGGTCAAGGGTGGACCTCCCTCTTAAGATTTCACCACCAAGGACTTGAGAGCATCTGTTTCTAAGTATGATACACCCAAGATGTATTTCACTGCAGGTTGTGGCTTTTGGGATTCAACCTCCTAGAACTAAAGCACCAGTAAATTAAAAAAGTCAAATACAGAAGGCAGAAGTGATATGAACATTTGAACCAAAGTGAAGAATAGATCGCAGTCTTGCCTTGACAAGATTCTCATGGTAACGTCATAAACCATTCTGTCAGTAATTATTAATTAATACTATGAACTATGTGAAATTTTCATTTTTTTTCTCATAGTCTTACATTTCTTTTAAATTATTTACTATCTCTCTAGTGAAATTAACTTTGTACTCCATAACAGAGGACTCAGCACATTTACAGTTATTAATGTCTGTTGAAGGACCATGTTTTTAAGTATCTAAAGATTTAAGGGATTTTTTAATAACATTTTTTTAACATTACTTTTTTTTCCCCTTCATGGATTTTTTTCTATTTTTACAGGCTACAAAACCCTTAAAGGGATTCCTTCTGCTGTAAAGTTTTTTTTTCTCAAAGGAGCAAGTGTCTTTTAATTTCAGAACTGTATACAGAGATATTTTGCCATGCATAAGATTTTTATTCACAATAGGTAATAGTTAAAAAAAGAAAAACTGGCTCTAAACATAAAATTAAATCATTCAAGTCAGTGAGAACATCAACAGGAGCTGGTTTATGCTGTTTATTAGAGAGATGCTGCTAATATCAAATGATCTGAAAAGATTCCACAGATAAAGGTTTCCTGAGCATAGAAATTTTAATTATAATTTTGCTGAAAATTGAATGTATTTAGATATAATTCCCAGTGCAGGTAATGATCCTGCTTCCCATAGGATACGCTTAATCCACCAAAAACACTCTCAGAGTGCCTTTATTTGACTGAGTCCATCTGGGAACTCCACATATGTTAGAAAAAAGATTTGCAGTTAATTGGCAAAGCTTAAAAGATTTGAGAAAGGTTCTTCTGCACAGGAGGACATAATCCGTGTCCACAGAAAGTCACATTTGACTCACAGATGAGTTCCGTCTTGAAGACAAGTTCCTGCTAACTATTTCCAGCAGAGCTGGAGCTGAAGCATCTTCTGCTGTTACATAACCACCCATTTCCCCGAGGCCTTTTGGGACAGAGACTGTTTCTCCTGCACATGGGGACATTCAAGAAATGCCAAGGAACCTCTCACAGTAACCGAGTCACTTTTCTTACATAAATCTTCTAAACAAAACAAACTCTCTTAGTAAAATAACATTTACTGGAGCCATCGGCTTATGCCAGAGACAGCAGAAAGTTGCTAAATAGCTCTAACCCAAGAGGATGTTTACAGTTTAAGATTTGTTTAGCACTTATGGTATAATTTGTGCCATATGCTCTCTTATTTACAGTTTTCCCTGCAAAACATTTTTATTAGATGCGGAGCACAAGCAACTTTCTAGCTCTGTGCCTTCCCATGTATCACAGCCGTTCATCACAGCTGGGATGGTCCTCCTGTAGCAATCTGTAACCAAGCAACATGTCCCTTGAATTTTTTGTCTGATATCTGGCAACAGAGAAAAGTTGCAGTTGATGAGCTTGAGTTACTGAAACCTGATCTGATAGAATGGAGCACGCAAGCAATATGGGACATTAATGGTTTTCTGGGAGAAATCCTGGGAGAAAACCTCCTTTGGAGACTGTTTCCAGCAGATAGCCTGGGACACTCTGGAGTGAGTCTTTTAGTAAAAAGCAGCAAGCTTTGTGTTATTAATCCTACTGAAGCTGCAGCAGCAGTAATACATTAGTGAGCATAAGTTGTCACAAACAGTCTGAAGTGAAGGGCTAAAACTGTCAGTCACCACAGAAGGGCTTTTACATTCCTCCTGGCCTCCTTGAGGGGATTGAGTGTCGATATTTTGACATACAGTGGAAAATCAGGGAGTAAGCCACAAAGGCCTAGGGGAAAAAACATCTGGAATGACATAAATGTCAGATTGACCAAGGAACTGCTTTTCTTGCATTTCTGAGTGAGATTTCACTCCTGCAATACAGCAAATAATTCAAAATCCTTCTTGTGTCTGAGAAGGAGGGAAGTTTTTTTCTTTACTGACAGAGGTGTATTTCTGCTGGCCCTTTCTATTAGTTACTGTGTTTTCAAGTGGTACCCATGCAGAATAAATAACTGGGGGAAGTGAGTGACTTCTAGTTTTTACACCAGTTGAATTTTTGATAGCAATCTAGTAGTATGTTTTCGAAATCATAGATGAATAAGAGGGAAGCTGAGCCTTTGATTAACTGGAGGGAATAACAAGGCAGCAATTAGCTTTGAAAAGTCAACAGTGAATAAATTAGGCATACAATTCAGAACAAATAAACATGGCAATATTCTGCTACTTTTCTAAAGTGGTTTTCAGGCTACCCCCATGGGGAGTGTTGATCATTGGATCAATTCCACTCAATGGAAAAAGTTTCTATATAGCTCTGACTGTCTTACCATTTTACCTGGTGATGGTTTTTCATCCAGTGAGTAAAGAAGTGGCACTTGTAATGGCCGGACTTACAATGTTCCATTTGATGTTTCTGTTTACACTTTTCCTGAACTTGCTATTGCTGTTTATATATCATGTCTCTGTGCAGAGCCTGCTTCCTCTGCACCATTCTCACTCAGAAAGAAATAGGAGGCTGTTAGGAATGATATTGCTTTATTCAAGTATCACTGACCATAGTCAGTAGGTAAGAAAGAGCACCTTCACTCTCCGGTAAAATGAAGTCAACAGGGCTCAGCTCAAAGCAGAGTGCAGCAGCCAACTTGATAACTGTCACTCCTTTTAATTTTATCTCAGCCTATTCTTAAATCTCTAGCAAGCGTACGTACATTTTTTGAGGATCTTCACTAAAAATAGATCAAAGGTGCTAATTTGGCTGTAAACATAATACATCTGGCATCTTTGAAGTAAGCTGTTTCACGATTTCACTGAAATCAAAAAAGCTCACTAACTGTTAATTAAGCATCCTCGTCTGGTGGGCCACAGCCTATAGAAATAAAACTGTAAATAGTAAAGCGAAGGAGACATAAAAGAGTTTCTTTTGATCTGGAGTTTCTCCCCATCAGAATGAGATCACAAATGTTTCATTATGTTTTATAGACTGATGGAAGTTCAAAGCTAACACTAGACAGAAATTGATTGTCACTACTTGATTAAATGTAGATCATTCAGTCAGATATGGTTATTGGTTATGGTAATTCCTACGAGAGTGCATCCATGAATAAAACCAGCAAGTATGGTAATCATACACGGTCACAAAAATGTTTAGTCTGTTCTTGGAGCACCATTACTACTGATGGAAATAAAATTCAGCATTTTACTATGGAATGCCAGAAATAAAATAGGAAGTAAGACGTTGGAGACATTTAAAAAGATGCAAGTTTCATCTAATATGGAGCTGTCCCCAGCTGATAGCCAAAGGACCAAGGATGTACCTCTACTGACTGGGGGTAGCAATAAAAGCCCATTACTGACTGTATTTTCAGTCAAACATCTCTGCAAAAGCTGCCTGCAGAAAGGAGCTGGGGATTCAGGAGCAAATGACTACGGATGAGGCAGACTGTCGAGCTGTGTAGAAAGCAGTAGCTTTAATGAGCAATTCCATGACAAACAAAACATTCAGGCATGAGAGTAACAAACAAGCAGCCACAGGGGCGTAGGTTCATTCCTAGTCTGCTGTATTTCTGCTTTTGGACAGCTAGAGGTACATTTTGAAGAGAACGACTGGCACAAGCACACAGCTGAAGAGAGCATAGAAATCATTCCCAAGGTTGTATTGAATGACAATATTTTTTTTAAAAGAAAAGTTATACCAACATTTTCCAAGGTATAAACTGGATCTTGTGTATGTGCATTACACGTCCACTGAGCGCCTAACACATGGCTGTGATTGAAGAATGTAAAAATTCCCCCAAATTTGGGTTTTCTTGGGGATGGGAAGGACGAAACCAAAGTTCTAGGTTTAGCCAGGTGTATTTATTTTTGAGGGCTGATTTTGTATCCAGTATTAATTTTTGAGGCTGATTCCTGGCCTTACTGACTGCAATGAACTCCTTGTCAACAAAACAGCACAGAGGTACATCTGCTTTGTCTGGCTTACTCTGCTTCACAAGCTCTCCAGCTCTGAAAGTCTATTTGAAACTATGAGGAAGGCAAAGAAGCTTTTCAATTCAAGCAAACTGTTCTTCCTAGAGGAAAACTTCCCAACCACCACTGATGATGCAAGAGACAGAATATCCTGTGCCAAATAAAAGCAAAGGGCTGCTCAGATTGTTCCAGCTCTACCTGATCCTCAAGGCAGGAAGAAAGACTTGGGGTTTTTTGTTTACCATGGCTGGCTGTGCCTGGGACACAGAATATGTCTTTGGTGGGACAGGACAGTTTCTCAAGGGTGAAACAGAGTTCACTAGGAATAGGAGTGTTCATATCTCTCACCAGCACTTTTACTGGACCTACTTCAGTAGTTTGACAAGTGGGCATTTGGTCCTCTGCAGGATTTTCTGTTCTTTTTGCATCCCTGTTGTCCCTTTTTTTCCAATTTGATGCCCTAGTAGGAAAAACACAGGAGATGACATATGCCTGAGCTGCTAACATTGAAAGGTACATTAGATGCAATTTTACAAAAATTAGGGTCTGTTCACTGCAAGCACAATTTTACAAGAGTTTCTTTGTCCAACATATGAACCATAGATAGTCTCAAAGCAAATAGAGGCAAATGAGCAAAGTCTGATGTACAGTGAGTATTTAGGAACAATAAAGTAGAATAAAAAAAGGTAATTTCTTCCAGGGTATTGCCAATGAATCTGAGACTTTCTAGGTGCCTTACATTAAGTTTTACTATTTGACACATGAGTAAAACTTTCACCTAATTTTACTGATTTCAATCATTACCTCCTTTCTTTTATAAGATCAATATACTCAATAAGAAGAAGGGTTTCAGCGAATGAGGGCAATATAATTGAAAGGCTATTCAACATCCTTTTTCTTGAACAAATGTTCCAAAGAGTCAACCCCAACTTATTATTTGGTTTCACAGAGTTTAAGGTTAAGAACTACAACCCCTCTGATTATTTATTTAAAGGAATCCAAATATAGCTTCTTTTAATGCTTTAGTACCTAGAGAATAAAACAGCTGTCAGCAATCTGTTCTTCTGAGAGGCGTTCATAGGAACACTAAGTCTGTTGTTTCTAATTTCAAAAATACAACCATAGTCAATAGTCAACCGCAGACAGGTGTGCAGTCCAAATATAAATTTTGTATTTGCCAGCACATATGCACATTAAATATGAAGATCGTAATACTAAATTTTGCACAGTGGAACAGTAAGAGCTCTAAAATTAATATCAAATGCCTTGACACTGTCAGATGGTTACCAGGTGCCTTACACCATGAATTTCACATTATTAGGGACACGATTTGTGGTACAATATGTCATTGAAATTGCTAAATTCAGGCGTTGAATTATACAGGGTAAAATTTCTCATGCTGGACAGATTTAAGTGGCTTAATGCATGGAAGTTATTTTTGTCCCACTGGCTCTGTGAGCAATAATAAAGACATTTTGAAGTGGGTAAGCTAAGGACCACTGAACAAGATCACCTGTCAAAGTGGTGCGACCCCACTGTTTATGGCCAGATTGAATAGATTCACAATTGTCTATAGTTCTGAATAAAACAAAGTCCCAGCTTCAGATTTTACTTTGCATACAGTGAGTAAAAAAGTATATGATATACTCCTGGCCATGTTGATATCACTGGCAAAATTCCTATGGAGTTTTAAAAAACCTCTGGCCACTGACTCTAAAAGGTACTATTATAATATCAAAAAATGAATTAGATAGAGACTGAGCATAGAAATAGGAGTTGCTTCATTTAGTATAACACACTGTGTGAATTAAAACTTACTTTTTGTCTTTGTTTCTTCTCAACTAAGAACAGCAACGTGTCTGAGGATGTGTGGAAGAACTTGTGTAGAACCTCAAAATAAAGATACTGAAGTTCCCATGGAGTTTCTTTTCCCATGAAACAGTGTGCAAACATTATTTCTGAAAAAGGAAGGGAGAGGAAGTTGAGGAATGAACCCAAGTATTCTAAGGTATTCCTGTATGAGGTTCCTATTTCATTTAGCCAGGAATAGCGGGCATGCTGGACAAAAGGAGCATATTTTGGCATGAGGGCACAATAACTGCAACCATGAACATTCACACTCTCACTTTGCTCACAACTCCCTTTTTTTGCAAGCTTGTGTGCATGCCTGGAATGTGTTATATGTCCACACATTTCTTATACAAATGTGGGACTGGAAATTGTCACCACGTGTACCTCCATCTCTAAGCACTGGAAACACAGTCTCTGCTGCAGTGGCTGGGAGCACCTTCAGTGAACAACCAGGACACCATCAAAAGCCATTGAAGAGGCAGAATAAACAGAGCAGTTTACTGATAGCATTTTATCGCTTTGAAGGAAATGTCTGAGACTGGTGGTGACCCAGAAAGCCTCTTTAATTGGCCTATGGCTTTTTATTTAATAAAGTTTTGATAAGCCCAAGTTGATCTTGAGTAATGTATTGGTATGGAAACAATCTAGTTCAAAGGACGATTAATCCGTTCCAGTGTAATAAATGTTAAGCAAGGATAATTAATTCCAGATTTTTACATTCAAGAACTTAAGCTTCTGCATGGCTAATCAAATACATAAAATGGTAAGATAATGCAGAAAGTCTGAATGCATCTCACATGCCCCACCAGAAGCCTCATCTATCAAAAAAGAAATAATCTCATTCTTGGAGCAACTTTACAGTGCAGTCAGATATTGCTCCTAAAACTATCCATTTCGCATCTAGCCATCCATCCAAAACATAGTGGTTGGGCATTCATCTTGGAAGGATATCTGTAATCCACATGCTCTTTCACACAACTTTGCCAATGTATACGAGTGTTCATTTTGATGTCCTGTTGGAAGTACTCAATTTATATCATCCTAGATCAAAGTAGATGTCAAATCACTAAAATATGAAGTCAAATCTGGCAACCTCGAACATACCTTTAAATAATTTGACCACATGTAGTGTACAGTTCTCAGCCGCGTCTCCATATTTTGGGAAGTGAAGTCTGACATGCAAAATGAAGTATGAGATTCACTACTAGAAATCGATATTTATCCAGGAGGTAATAGTTACAATAAAGCACACTTTTCCCCTATTTTAGTAAATGATACTGTGAGACTAATAAGACTTCAAAACATAAATTTTTGCCAAAAAAAAAGGAAAAAACAGTAAATTTAGGATGTTTCTGAATAAGTAAGGAGATTGGTAGAGAACAGTTCGAGGGGGGGCAGTTGTTATTGTAGTCTTCCTGTAAGATTTGGGCTACTTTTGCTAGAGGCAAATAGGAAAATTATCACCAGAGAATAATTACTGAATTCACAATGACATGTTTTGTGCATGATTGCCATGTTTCCGGTACTTGATTGGCCAAATTACAGCTGTCACTACAATGTGCCATTTTTGAAGAAAAGTAAATGGTTATTCAAAACGAAGTCTTCGCTGTTGAGTTGTATAATCCTCATGAAGTACATCATCTGGAGTTTCTGAAACTTCCACAGCTAAAGTAAATACCAAGATGTAAAGCAAAGACAAAATGGAAATGAGTAACAAGTCTTGGGGCTAAATTACATCTTCACTTGGACTGTTGCAGCTGCAGTGAATAGAAAACTCAGGCATTAGACTCTAATGCGTGCAAATATATCTCCAACATAATTATGATCTGACTTCCAAAATAGGTTTTAGAAAATTATAAAAAACTATGTTGTTTATGCCTGGAAAAAAGTTTGAAGGAAAGAAGTCACTTAAAGAGTTGCAATGTTGTTCAAAGAAAGGACAAGCACATCACCAAGGTGTCCTTTTGAAACTGTGAAGTGTGATTGAACCAAGTAATGAGAGTTTGCCAAAAAGCACAATAAGATAGGATGCTTAGAGGGATTGTGAGAAATCATGCTTGGGCACTGGAAAATATTCTACTTTGTCTGATTGTTCAAAAGACACCTTCACAGGAAGGGACACAATTTTTCATTATGAGATACTGAAAAGTGCTCCAAAATAGGCAGAACTGGATGGACGAAACAAAGTTCCTATTTTAACACAGAATTGTAGTTCATTAAAGACAGTGAGAAGACAGAAGAGAAATTAAAAACTTGACATTCACCATTCTAAGCCAGAGATTATTAGATTACTAGAAAGAAACAAGACTAATTGTATAAAATTTTTCCTATTTCCAGACATTACTTTGGTAACCGAGGCCAGAAGAGCTGAAACCTAGCAAGCAGCATTTTAGAAAAAACAGGAACTGAAGCTGATACCATTGTTCCCAGTACCCCTAGCAGATGTGAGTTGCTTAAACACACTAAGTTTGGAACCATGCCAAAAATGCCATCAATAAACAGCCCCTAGCAGGATTCAAAGGATGTCTTCTGCTATGCAGCAACATGGAGTTTCTGTTTCTGTTATTGGGATTTATTTCATTCTGTGGAGCTTCGTTTTGTTTCAGATGTTTGGATGATGGGTCTACTAGAAACATGTCATCAGAAGGCAACCACATTTCCCCTCCATTATTACATGTGCACACCAAAAGAGAAATCAGCAAGACTGCCACCTCTGAATGCTCCTGGTTGGGGAAATCTCCCGTGAAATACAAGCATACGAAGAAATATTTAAATGTCTATTTCTGCATCACATGTGCTTCAGAATATGTCAGAGCCTGAGTATAACTGCAGTGGGTTACTAAGGGTTGGAATAACATCAGCAAATGTCAGAACAATAATTGGACACTCAGAGAACTTGAGCTCCATTTTTGTCTGTACAGACATTGTAAGATTATATCTCTTCATAAATACCCATGTGAAATTTCTCCTAAACCACAATCTTAATAAAACAACTTAATAAAAATAGGAAATTTATTTGAAATGGAAAAAAACCTGGTTTTTTATTTTTTGCACTCTGGCAAAGGATTTGCACAAATGCTTGAAAGTTCCTAGGTTTGGCTCTTTCTTCAGGTTTCTCCAGATTTTTTCCTCTAGAAAGAGAATGAAATGTTAATACAAAACAGTTTGGGTTTGCATCATATTAATATACTGATTTTCTCAATAAGAGAGAACAAGAGGAAACCTTACTGTGGAGGAACAGGCAATGTCCTGAGGACAACCTGAAATGCCAACTTAGCATTTTTGCACTTCAAAAATATCTTTGACGTTTATAAACATCCATGATGGTAAAATTGAGGCTGTTAAAAATACATGGTTTACTTCAGTAGTTTATAATTCACAGTGGCATTTAGTGGGTGGAGTTGTAAATTAGTAAGTGGACTGCTGCCACAGCAGAGTAGGCTGCTGCTCTGCAAAGGAGAATCTTTGCTAAGAATAGGAATGTGGTCACGATCATAATGAACAAGGGCTCGGCCTGCCTGAAACGTTGATGGGAGATCAGGAGATGGTTGTTGGATGTGTAACAGCTGCTCTAGAAATTAGATGTTATCAAAGGAAAGATTGAATTGGATGAAAGGCATGCAAAGCTTAACCAGAAAGACCTGGTTTCAATTTTTAGTAGCACCACCTAAAGGCAGGGTAGCAAATGAAATATTTATGTTGTGGATAAAGTGGAAGGTACAGTTTTACAGCCAACAAAATGCTATGTTTATTCTGCTGCAAGAGGAAGGTAAGATTGCAGCAGTCTCTACACATAAAAACATCTTTTTCCCTTTTGTTTTTAAATGAAGTAGATTAATCTGCCATGAAAGCATTATAATATGTTAATCAGGTATTTGATCTGGTATGTCAAACACTCAAACAAAAAAGTCAGCTACTTTCTGGAAACAATATTAATGTCCTCAATAAACTCAGCATTTTAAAGAGATTTCCTGGAGCAGGGAGAGAGGGATGAAGACAGGGAATACTTATGACTAGGGTGATTTGCTTCTGGACTGTTAGCTGTAAAAAGCCTTATCCCAGGGTTGCAAGCCAACCGCATTATATCAGAAACCCTGAGTGAAGGGTGCAGATAGATAGATGTGGATGGCAAGGTAAAAACATGCCACCTTCAAACTTTTGGACACTTTATTTACTGAGAGCTGCTATGGGATTGCTGTTCAGCCAGAAGTAGAAAAGAAAATATTCTGAACCCAAATGCGTAACAGACTGACCTGCGTGACTGCAATAATTTCATGGTTTTGACTGCTTGAATTCCCAATCAGCAGACATCAACACAGTGCTCCCACTTTTCTGGCCTTAAGAACCATGCTTGAGCTATGTCAGCCTTAAAGTGATCCACAGGAATCTTTCACTGAAAAAGCAAAAAAAAATCTGTATGAAATCATTGTGTCTACTTCACACCCTGCACAACCCTTTCCTATGGGGCCCTGCTTTGATCCCTGTTTGTGCTGGCCAGCTCTCAGCCCCCCAGCGCACTAAGGGCTGCACACAGATGTTACACTGCTGAACAGTTTGTCAGCAGAGTAAAACAGGTTCCGTATTCCATAGAAAAATGAACAACAAAATGATTTTGTCACAAAAAGTTTAATCTGGTCTTTTCTGAGTCAGGACACTGGACATGATCCTAGTAGAAGACATTTTGAGCTGCATGATAACAGTCCCTCTTTAAACTTCTCCCAGATATCCAAGTGTTGATTTCATTCACCATTAAATAGACAAAAGAACTTCTCAAAAGGCATGGTGTGCTAGTAACCTATCACACTCCACTGAGGACTTGTCCATATGGTGCTCAGTGATTACTGTGTGTCTTCTATAAATATATCCCTTAAGCTGGCACATGTCTAGCACAAAATTATTGAGTATCTGTGCTCTTACTGGAAAGACTCCATCTTACAGTAGAATTTATAGCAGTTTTTGTGTCATAGATAGGAAACAGAAAAGAAGAAGTTCTTCTATCAACCTTAAGCTTCTAATAAGCTACTTGGCAGACAGGATTAAAGTGGGTAGGGTCCCAAGGAGCCCTAAGACTTATGCTTCTTGGTTTAAATTCTGTGTTCCCATGCATTAACACATCTAAAGTAATTGCAGACTGCAGCAGAGAGTAGAGAGCCTGGGTCAGCTCTTTAAGATCTGACAGTTTCAGGACTCTATATGCCTACAATTTAACCTAATTAAAGCTCTGAAATTGTAACTTTTTAATAATAAAACTAGAAAAAGTTTTATTATTACAAAAGAAGTTTCATAGAAATAAAATAAAGAATAAAGAAATAAACCACAATAGCTTTTTTCTCTAAATGAGCTAAAGATTTTTAAAATGCAAACACCATGATCAGCTAACACCAGTTCAAAAAGAAACTGAGAAAAATCTAGTGATCTTTGTGACTAGCAGCCCTATTTCTACCATGCAAAAAAACCCCAAACAAACAAACAAACAAAAGGGTAATGGAGAGCCATAAAAACCAAACAGCACAAACTAAAAAGGAAAAACCTATCTAATTTCCTGAATAGCAAAAGATAGGCTGAAATGAAGTTAGTGTACATCGCTGTATCATGTAGCAATGAAAAGTGTTCAGTTTTTCATGATGACCTTTTGAAAGCCAGTCATAGACTGGATTGAACTGTTTATTTCCAAAATCTTTCCTTCATACGTGATGATTTTCAAAAACGTTTTGGTATTTTATAAGTAGCACAAGCAGAACTAAATGAATACAAATATTTCTAAATGTGTGTGTAATGCAACCCCCCTCTCCAAATTTAACAGAAATTTGTTACTAGCATGTCATATATAAAAATATATAAATATATAAATATATAAAAAATTATAATTTTATTTTTAAAAAGTGCACACAAGCAGATCATTAGTACATTAGTATTTGTTAGGATGGATAAGCTTTTGCAAAAAACAGAAAAGAAAAAACATCAGTATTCAACACATTATGAATAACTAAAAATGAAATAGAATAGGTATTGTTCATGCATGAACTAACTTATGTTTTCTGTCAAGAAATGCGTATTATTAATTACACGTTGTAAATTACGTATATTTAACTGAATGCACTACTTTTCCAAAAACATATCACAGCATATATCTATAAAACCAAGTAGAATTTAGAATTAAAACCAAAATCAGAACTGGTTTTTGTATTATCCCTATATCAGTTGAATATTTACATGTGTTTAACCTGAGGCACAAGTCAGTCTTACTCAACTGCAGCTCTTGAGCTCAAACACAAATACTTAAATATCTTACTGGACCTGCGTCACTATGAAAGGGTATATCAACACATTCAGAGCTTAAACTATATATGCATCTAAAATACTTTCCTACTTATATTTGCAAAATATTAATTCAGTATATTCCTGAGCATTATGGAACATAGGGCAAAAAAGGATGCCTTGTGGTGGCAACTCTCCCATGCAGTGCAGCAGTTCATGATATATTGGTGCTAAACTACAAGGAAAAGAAAGGAAGGGAACATAATGCTCTAAATTTTTGTCTGTCTTAATAGGTTAGATATTTTCTCAGGCAACTAGGTTTCTACAGTAACAGAAGTGTTTATCAGTCATTAGGATATTTAAAATATGCAAATTATTATGCAACTAGTCCATGGGTGTTTTCTTCCTCCACGTGATTTGAAAGATAGCCTGTGATCACCTGCATTTACTATGGACTAAAAGGACACATATAAGATTTTACAGCATAGAAACTAACACAAGGTACTAAATTCACAGACCAACATACAACTTTGTGTGCATACCCCACACTTACACTCCTGCCACTGCTGTCATGCAGTCTGCCTTTTCACTTCTGTGCCATGAATAGTATAATTGTTTATATCAGTAATATCAAGTCCACTTCCTATACGACCAGCCAGTAGGACATACAGTAATGACTGACCTGCTTCTCCCTGCCCACAACAGACACTTTCCTAGGGAAGAACTAACATTAGAGTAGTCAATCCTGCAAAATACTATAAGACTGCAACAGCTTTTCCTCCAGCTTTTCATTAGAGGCAAATCCTGAAAAGTTTCTCCACTTTAAAATAGGTTAAAGAGTTCAGCCAAACATTGTTATGTATGCAGCTTTCAAAAACTGCACATAATTCTGGATGCTCTGGTTCTTGTTCTCTGACTTCTGCAGGCTGTTCTCCAGCTCTTTCAAACATATTTCGTGGTGCTTTTCATTCTGGTAAAAAAGGAGAAATGCAAAGCTACTTAGAAATAAAATGTAAATTAATCAAAATAATAATCTAAGACAACTCGTACCTAATTTTTATAGCCTTACTTACTTGTAAAAGTTTTCAGAGGCTCCGCAAAACCAAAGGTGATAAAAAAGGCCTCAAAATATTGAAGCTTTTATTTATGTTAAGTAAACTGAACATGTTTGAATAGTCTTGTAATCCAAAAAGGCCTTGGAACATAAAAACTAATTTTCTGAATTTTTATCATGAAAGATTCCTGGCATCTCAAAACTATCATGGACATCTGTTAAGTCAATGGGAAATGTCAATGTACAAAGTATGTTGTCAAGTTGAATTAATTTGCTGTTCTGAAAAGAGTGTATCAATTGTATTAGTTGTGTGTTTTCAGTTAAAGGAACTTCTTCTGTAAATGGTGATGTGGTAAGTAATTTCTTAAGTCACAAACAGTATTATTTACTCACATGGTGAAATATGCAGAGGAGTTGTTGTTTTTCTTCTTTTCCCTCTCTCACTTCAGTTTCAAGAACTAGCAGTTTTGTCTGAAAGGCTTGTTCTTTGTATGACATTTTTTCCTGTTCTTCAGCTACCTATAAAAGTAATGAGAGGGAAATGATATATATTTACTCTTTCTTAAAGCCCAAATTAAATTATTTTCTTATATAGCATTAATAGCTCTATTTCATCTAATACTTTACTTGTTTCCCATGCACAGAAATTAAATAAACCTGAAAAATATTCTGGTTAAGTTTGAAAGATGTTTCGATTTGAAAAAAAGTGCAATATTATTGGGAGGGGAACCCGTTTTAAACTCATTTTTAAGTTAAGCAAAACTTGTAATTCTTTCAAAACCAAATAAATATCTTCAGAGAGTATTGAAAAAAATCAGATAGTTTATTTCAACATGATTAATCTGAAATTACAACTTCATACATATTTTATGACTAAACTAATATAATTCACTGCAATGTAAATTTCCACACTTCCTCTTGCATTTGGTTTACTGTTTGCGTCCTTTCTACAAATGACAAAACTGAACTTAATATTGAAAGCATGCAAATTCTTCCTTTAAAAAGAGAAGGAGTTCAATATCAAAGTTCTTGTGGGCTTCCTATTACAAAGAAAATAAAAGGCAAGATTAAGCTTATCTTGTCCCATCATTTTTTCTCGAACACATTTGTTTTTAATGCTGTTTTTAAATAGAAAGTGGCAAACATGATTGAGAGATGTATTAAATCACCAATACCATTTTTCTCCCTTTTTCCAAAGCAGATTCAAGTTGTCTGGTTAATGCATTATATTCTGCAATTTTCTCTTCAAGCTTCAATTTACTGCACTGAAGAGTCTGATCTTGTGTTCTGAGCTGACAAGCAAGTTCTTCATTCTGAAATTCCATCTTTCCCAATTGCCTTCACACGAAACAGATTAATGCATTATAATTCACTATAGCAGAAAGGTGTAGGAATTAATTTCAATCAGATTTTTTAAAGGTTACCTTTTTAGAGCTTCATATTTCCTCTGAATGTTACAGTTTTCTTCTAAGGAAAGACTGCCCATAGAAGTTACACTATTGTCATCCTGTGAAAAGGATAATTTGTTTCTGGTTGAAGAGACCTATATGCAGGATCTTGCTAGACTAAAGTAAGCTTGCCTATTAAAATCCAATCAAACAATTTAACTGTAATTTCAGATAAATGTTATACTATATTCAGATAAATGACATACTATATTCAAGTAAATATTATCTTGTATTTAAAACAAATAAAGTACAGCCAAAGTAGCAGACTAAACGTTTGTGTGAACGTTAAGATTGAAAACCTGCTATGTAACAAAATGAAGTCCTGAAAAACTTCATATGCTGCTCATGCAGCCTTAAGTATCAGGAGCTGGTCAGGTCTACCTCCCAGCAAAAAAAGCTCCCTCACACTAGAGTCACAGAAAACATAAAAATAATACTGCATATATATGTATGGTTATTGCAGAAAAACAATTAGCATGGGCAAAGAATTTTGGAAAGAAGTGATTATCAAAAAAGACAACCAGGTTCATGAAAGGAGGTATATCAGCAGCAGAAGCTGAAGAAAGCAAGAAGTCAAACTATTTTCCCTTGCCCAGCATCCAGAGGGCTAAACTTTTACATGTTTTCTTTTAAATCTCAGAACATCTCATTAGTGATGAGATTATTGCTCTTGCTACCACCCATCAACAGCAGATTAACAATTAACAAGCCACACCAAGAGCCTTCTGGCACCATAATTTAAAGCGACAGCCACCATCATTCATTGGACTACCTCAAGCAGTCCCATCCAACAATTTGAGCTAGTCTGCCTGATTTTGTTTGTGTGAATCCAAGGCTGTTCAGCTGGCAGACTGGTAGTAGCAGAAACTAGTTCCCCTGAAACTCAGAAGAGTGTTTCTGTACACAGCGCAATTGCTTCAAAAGGAATTTTCCTAAATTCTGGTCATAGGTTCTAGGGTCAGAATCTCTAAAGGACATCACCAAGACCTAATGATGAAATTTAATCACTGTTCCACCAGACTAGCGATTATATGCCCAATTACTTCACTATACTTAAGATGTTCTTTTGCACTTTTTCAGGAAAATGTAGTTAGATTGAAATTACATATATCATTTTATAAGATGTATTAATTTTGTACCCCAAAATTAATTGTTGCCTAAGTACTTCACTAAGCAATTATGGATTTATAAGTTTATGAGCATTCCTGGAAGAATTATTTAATATGAGGCAAACAAGAACCAAAGTTGATGTTATAAAGATCATCTTGACATGAAATTTAAAACAAAATCAAGAGCTCTGATTTTTATAAACATATAAAGTCTATAGGAACACAGAGGCTCACTGTGCTTCAGCTGAAGTTTTCCCACTGACACAGGAAGAAGGTTAAGCCCCTTTCCCACCCTGCTGATTCAAAAACCTTTGTTATTTGTGTTAGCAGAGTATCCTCGTCTAACTCAAAAGCTCATTAAAAAAAAACCAAAAAACCACACACAAAAGAGAATAAGAAAAAACCCTAAACTTACCCTGCCATTGAAATTGATGTCACAGAAGAAAAAAGCTGAAGAAAATTCATACTCAGACTTTGGAGAAAATACAAGCATTAGTGTTAAATACAGCCAAAAATTGAAATTATCCTATTAAAGCATGTCTTAAAAATATTTAATCAACTAAAATAATGTAATAATTAAAATACTCTACATCAACAATGTAAATTATCTGATTAAATATTGTATGGTTTATGAATTAGTCATTAAAAACAAAGGTAGAATTACATTATTTCACTATATACAAACAATAACTAGACTTGCACATTTATTTCCAGGGAGGAATTCTTCAGTGCATCTCAGGATATAAGTATTCAAAAAGAACAAGAATATGCTCACTCTGAAAGTAACTACTCTTGTGACATAATGAATTCACATGAATACAGTTGGCAACAGTCTTATTTGCATTGTGCTTTTTCTACAGAAGAAGCTTTTGATTTATGAAGCAAATGACAAAGGAAACTGACAATTGTCACACATGCTAATAGGAAAAAAACGTCCCAGAGACTTTTTCCACATAATTTTCTCATTTATCTTTAAAAATTAGTGTGTTCTAACCACCTGAACCTGCAGCTTCCTAAGGGTTTTGCATTTCTGTGCATGAATCCTTTTTCAGAACATAAGTGTTTGCTGCTTTTCCTCAGCTGCTTTCAGCAAGTCACAAACATGTTCTAACTCCTTTAACTCAGCCTCCGTTTTGTCCCTCACCTGCATAGTAGCATCACAGGAGAAAAATGTAAGTGTAAAGCCATAAATTAATTGTTGTAGTACTTCATGGATTTCCATGTAAGTAATAAAGCTGAAATTCTACACAAATTGCATAATATCACCTGTTTTATAAAATACTGACAAAGATACAAGTTAACCATTGGAGAAATTCCCATCTCTGACTACGTTTCATTAAAGACTCAGTAACACAGTGAACAAAATTATGCAAGTCTTAGTGGTTCATCATGCGACACCCAAACCTGGATTTTATTTTTATAGAAATACATTTTGGGAGATGGCATACAGACACACTAAGTAGCTTACAGAAAAAATTCCGACCATAAAACTATTGAAGTATTTGAAAAGAAAGCAGCACCTCATGGCATCTGAAGCCACATAAAGTGGTGTGTAAATATTATTTGTGAGATGAGAAAATCTTTTTCTGCATTCTAAATTTCCATCATGGAAAGATAAAGTTAGTATGAAATAAAACGAACACCTAAGATGCTTCTCTGTGAGGACTAATTCTGTACTCTGAAACAGAACATTGCAGGCAAAGCCTGTCCCTGTCTCAGCTTTATTGCTTAAAAGAATATGTATTTTTATGAGTCATGGAACTGGGGAAAGTGATTTTCATAGCAATTTTGTATCTTTTTCAGATTTTTAGGAATGTAGTAACTGTATTCCAGTGTTTAGCTCCATCTGCTGAAAAACTTAAAACTCACTCTGTATGGATTCTCAGTTTTAACTGTAAGCTAAAAAAAAAAAAAAAAAAAAAGCAGCCTTACACTAGGTTTGCTTCCATACAGAACTTTCACAGCTGTTCTGTTGGGAAGTCTAGTTTCAAAATCACCAACAACAAATCACATTTTTGAAAGTGATAAAAGAATGCTGGAATTCTGAAATAGCAGCCCAACTCCTTAGTCACTGCTCTAGGAAACATTTCTCCCCTGTTTGCAATTGCGTGGTATCCAAAAAACCACCAGCTCTAGAGAGTTAGTAAAATTCTCTTGTTTAAAAACAGGATACAGTACCTTGTGACTTCTAATAAGTGGATTACAATAATGTAGGAAAGATCAGTGTCCTACAGAATTGTTTGGAAACATGGTTTATTACTGTAAAACTTACCTTATCTACTTCCAAGCATTTGTTTTCTGTTATTTTTTTGTTTTCATTTAAGATTTTTTCATACCTGGATTTCAATTCCTCTACTGCTATTTGTAGCTTTTGTACCTAGGACAACATATATTTTTCACATATATTTGTGAGGTCTTTCTTTTAAATGTAGAAAAGATAGAATTGTTAGTATGAAGTGTAAGGGAAAACTTTTGACTTCTAAATAGTATCTTAATATTTGTTATTGGTTGAAGTTATTTATTTTCATTATCCTACTCACCACAGCAAGTATAAAAGGGTAATCGGGTAAAGAGCACTGTCATATCAATATTGTGTTATCAACAATGGAGAATGAGCTACAGTTGTGCTACAGAAGCAGCCAGCATGACTCACATTTCTCTCCCAAGATAACAAGTATCATCAACACTTCCACCCAGAGTCACTACAGCTATGAGCGAGGGAATTTCACTTCACTCATTGCTTAAGGCTGGCTGCTACATGGAACTACATCTCCCATCTTAAAGCTGGCAACAACTTTAACTATGGTGATGCATTTCGCAGACAAGGTTCACTGGCTGTACTTAGATTTTGTATCATGTCTTTTCCCTTGTCAATGATTTTAAAAAAGAAACATATGAAGAATGACAGTGAAATGATGTCTATACAATAGCAGAAATATATTTGAAATAAATTTGAAATATATACATATTTCTCTGTGAATAAAGCCAAATTAAAAAAAAAAGGAATTGATAAAAAGCCCATTTTAAGTTTGGTTTATTTCTTTTGCTGGTATTTTCAATGTGGATTTACCTATTTAAAAAAAAGGCTCACATAATATATGTTTCTTGAATGAACTTGAATTTCTTGAACTTAATTGAATACTGGTATACTGATAAAGATATGACCCAGTAGAGGTAAAATATCACTGGATATGTCCACGGAAGACATCCGATTCAAACTTAACTTTTAAAATATACAGTTTACTGGGTTGCTAGCCTGCTTTTTAGGAAGCAGATCTTCTCTAAGCAGTATGCAATTAGCTCTGTTGGCTTAAATGAGCTTTAACTGGGCTTCACACAGTTCAGTAAGGATTATGTAACAGTGTGGGGACTACTCTTTGATGTGGTTTGCAATAGCACTCTCTTCTATCATACTCAATGTTACGACAATATTACAATCACCATGAAAATAAATCTGGTCTATTGCAAACAAAACCTTTATAATTTCCTTGAAACTGCTAACAAATTTAAAAAAACATACTTGAAGATTTCAAACATGCTAGTCACCTCATTTTTATGCTGTTCAACGAGATTTTCCTGCAGATGTAGCAGCTCATGTTCAACAGAAACAGTACTTTTCTCCAATGTAGCAATGGAAGCCTTGATTAAAACATAGAAAATATAAAAATTTCAATAGTGTTATTAAAATAACACAGTCTGCAATATGATTTTACTAGCAAGTGACTTGCAGGCATTAGAAAGAGTGATACCATTATTTATCCTGTCAAACAAAAATGGTAGTCCACAGTTCATTTGTCAGCTAACAAGAACATTTACCTTGGAGGATAAATTCAATGCAAAACCTGTCAACTCTTTAGAATTTGAAATTAATAATTAAGGTAAATTCAGCTCTTTAATTTGAAAGAAAGTTTTACAAACTCATACTTCATATGAATACATTAAGATTTGACTGCATAGTTTGAATAAGGTTTAATAACTTTGTGCTGCTTTTCCTTACATGAATAAAAGAATAATTTCTAATTAAGCAATTGTGTAGCTACTTACAGTAAAATAAATAGCATCCTGGTTATGCAGATGGATCATCAGACAACCCTGTTCCTAGCTTTGCCATAGATTACCACTGAAATATTTTCAATGTCTCATTTACACTTACTATGAAAAATGGATGACAAAATTTATTCTACAGGTTTGGGATCTCTACACAGAAGGTCCAAAGGGAATTAACATGGTTAGTTCATTATGTATCAGAAATGTAGAGCCATTCAACAATGATTTCTAATGGTCTTACCTTTAATTTTTCATTTTCAAGGTAAATCTTTTCATTTTCAGAATTACCAGAATTTAGCTTTCTGAGAATTTCCTCCTCTGAGTTTCTTCTCCATTCCTTCCTTCTTTCCAATTCTTCACACAGGCTTGTGATCTGACTTGTTAGACAGGCAAGAACTTCTGTATAATATACAGTGTTTCCAAAACTCTCACTATGAAAATCAACTTGAACCTCAACACATTCTCCTTCATTGCTTTTATTTTATTTTATGTATATATATATATATAAAGGGGAGAATGCATTTAAGTATCCAAAGAAAGGAGTATCTACTAAAATAAGAAATTCCCCAAAGGAGGACAGTTTCTACTCCAAGGAAGTGGTCCTAGTTCAATTATAAATGAATTAAGTACCTAGAACACCCTGCCTCATGGGCAGCTCGAGAGCAGCTGTCAATCAAAAGGTCACTCTGGAAGCACGCCCACACCCTCTGGAATCCCCACCCCAGCCTCTGACTGGCTACACCACCCTCACTCCGGCCTGGAGCCCCAGAGTGGCCAGTGAGCTGGAAGTCCCGCCTGGGAGGGGGTGGCCACAGGGGCCAGAACACACAAATACAGCAGTACATGATTTCTATTTCTCTGTCCTGGGACCAACCTCCACCATATGAAGCTCCACTTCCAGAGGACTCTCTGACGGTAGCTATTTTTCTCTCATTCTTCTCTCAATCTCCTTTCTCTCTTTTTCTTTCTTTACTGCTTTCTTAATATTTTGGGTAACTTAAAAGCAGTGGGTTGGATTTTGCTAGACTGTATGTGTTAGCAAGTGCTAAGTCATAGCTTTGGTGGAATGCTTTGTTTTGGTTGTATGTTGCCCCTTTTAAACTTCTGCCAAGATCCGTATTTTCACCCATATTTATCAGTAAAAGTTTCTCCTGAGAAAACGTATGCAATGTTTTCTCTTCGTGCTATTTCAAGGTGTTAAAAAACTGAAGGCTCTGCAACAGTTCGGTGGGTGTTCTTTTGGAGCCTTGTGAATATTTTTAAAAGTAAAACTCCTGGCTGAGCTTGTGATGCCATGGCTGGGGTCTTACAGCCTCACTTTTTGCTTTTCATGTTAATAAAGTTAACAAAACTTGTTTTGCTGTTTAGTCAGTCATACACTTCTTAGTAGAACAAGTCTTGTTAGAATGGTACATTTCAAGCAAAAACTTATACTTTCAGCTGAAATAAAAACAGCAAAAAAACAGCTGGAAGCAGAATGAGAGAAGTATCATAAATGCATCACTTTTCTTGTTCTTTCATAGATGCCATCTTATTTACACTGGACCAACAGTGGGCTAGAGAGATTTCTGGACTGATGTTGTGTACCTGCACTCCTGTTAAATATTTGAGCATGAATCAAGTTCTTTGTAATGTAAACATTGTCTGAGACCTAGAATAAAGGTACCTCCCAATTCCTTTGGCTTGTTTGAATTATAGTCCATATTTCTATCAACAGAAAAAGTAAAAAAAAGATTTGTCACTCTCTGCCGAAGAAAATGGCGTATCCTTCCTATGAGTACATTAAGATTTGACTGCATAGTTTGAATAAGGTTTAATAACTTTGTGCTGCTTTTCCTTACATGAATAAACTGTTCAAATGGGCACTTGAGAGGAAACCTTCTCTATCCTCTGGTGAGGTGAGACATTAGTGGAATTGAAATAATTTTACCATCATCAGTCTGATGTAGAAACTAGAACCCCAAGAATGTTCTTCTATACTGTGGTAGACACAAGAGTTAATACTCAAGCTGTTGAATCAGTTAATAAATCAGTGGTTATGCAGAGGCAGCATAGTAGCTACTAGCAAGTTCAGGCTAAATAGAAATATGCAGGGGAAAGAATATTCCCCTTTACCAGTAAGGAACATAAAAATTTAAAAGAAGGGAAATGCTGCAGAGAGAAGGCTAAAAATCTTAAATTTGTTCTTATTTCCAATTTCTAAATTCTGCTCAGAATTTTAGACTATTAATAAGCTCATTTATCTTGTCAGCACTGAGTACTGCACTTATAAATATCAACACTACGTGACTGCAGAAACAAAAAGAAAATAGATCAACAGTCCAACTTACTTCTTAAGATCTTCTGTTTGAATTTCTAACATTGTCTTTTCTTCAAGCATTCTGTCATGCTGGTTTTTCCAGACATCAGCAGTGGACCATATCTCACACAATTTGACTTCCTAGAGAATGTAGAAGTCATACATTATGTAACAAAAGAATGCCACAGAAGATTGCTATTTAATTCCACAAATTTTTTTGAACACAAGAGCTATTTAATATAAGATGCCTTTATTGGATCTCCCTTGTACAAAGCAATGTAAATTTTGTCTTTTCTCAAAGTAAAATAAACAAACCCACTCATATTGTTCTGATTTAGTTGGTACTTATCCATAAATGACTAACAGGAACACCAGGAGAGGTTTGACCAAAAGCTGATGAGACTCCTCTTACTTACTACAGTTCGAAGTGTACAACCTCATGACTTAAAAAAATCACTAAATTTTAACAAAACAAAGGCAGTGAATACTAGTTTGCATGTCACTTGTAGCAACCCTTTTCTTAACCAATGAGCAACAAAATAAGAGATACAAGCACAGCATGACCAAACAACTTTTTCTGTTTACCACAGGTGCAAGTCTTCCAATTGTTCAATTTAAACAGTACAGCACAACATTGCTTACTGCAGAGTCACTCACATGTTCTCTTATTTTGGAGGTTAAATTTTTTGCAGCTTCTTCAAAGAATTGAGCTCTTTGTTTCTGGGACCTCATTGCTTTATTCAGAGCAATCTTGTTTTGTTCACTTGTTTCCTTTAAGGCTGACTTCTGGTGCTTGTATTCACCAACTTGATGTTTCCACTTTGCTATTTTCTTTTCTAGATTCTGCAACAGAATTAGACATCAACTCTTCAAATTTTAAACCCCACAGATATTTTTGTGATATAATCAGGAATAGCAGTTACATATATAATCTGTTTCCACAATATCTTTTTATCTCAAATGTGGTGGTTGATACAATTAGCTAGTTGAGATACATACAGCAATAGACAAAAGAAAATACAAATTGGGAAACTCATTACAAAGATCTGGAGAAGAGGCTGAGAAGATGCAGAAGCAAGAAGTAAGGCAAAAGATAATCTAAACATCGTTGTGTGCTCTTGGAAATGAATGCAGAATTTCAATGTAGAAGGCATGACATGTATGTTAAACCCATTTATGAGTGGGAAAGTAACATTGTTTTGTCATTCCTAGAGACTGGTTTCTGTAAAGAATATCACCTTAATGATGCTACCAGTGATGTGCACTGATATATTAGAGTATGTGCTCTGAATCTCTAGTGAGACACACATTATAGGTCTGGAGATAGGCTGTATGACTGTATATAAAATTTTAATATGAAAGCTAATATCTTGGATTTGGTTTTTTTAAAGTTAAGAAGGTAGGATAGACTGGGGTCTTTTCTTGAATATATGTATTATGATATGTTCTGATTAGATGACAATATACTACCTTCTTGCAAGATCTCTGAATTTTCTCTATGCACAAAATGGCCCCACTCTATCAATAAAACAGATTTGTTTAGTGAAGAAATGATTTCTTAGTGAAGCAGAAAATGCAAAAAGAATAGATTTAGCACTGCCTTACGCACAGCAGACAGTTGTTTAAAGATAATTAAAACAGGCTATGATGAAGCTTAACCACAATGGTAAATCACACATTTTAAGGGCAACTTCTAAATATCATTTCCTGAGTGCTTGATTTTGCAGCACTCATGAAATAAAACACATTCACATTAAATGTATTTTAATGCATTCAATTATCAAACATGTACAAAGCAGTTGAGATGAGAGCTGAGTTCTACAACTGCCATTATACTATCTTCTCTACTGCTGTTATTTCCGACTAACTAAACTATCACTCTGATGAAGGCAGTGTACTGATCCCATTCATTTCATGAAGCTGGCCTTTCTAACTTCGTGACTTTTGTATTTTTCATCTACATACCACATAAATATGAATGGAAAAAACCAATGGGCATTAGAACACTACATAATGATGTACAATAAAAGCAATACTAGATGCTGCTTCAAGGAGAATCTCAGATCCACATGAAAATGACCAAGCTACCGGTGGTCAATGACTTTAATAAAGACAAGTGTAAATCCCATTCGTATCACTTATTATTCTTCCACCAGTGTAAACAATTTTCTCAAATCAGTGATAAATATCCTAATTGTAAGAATTATTACTGCATTTGTTTCCTTCATTGTAGTCTAGGTCTGACACTAAATTATGTTCTACAAGAATAAAGACCTACTATTTAGCTACTGACTACGTCAACATGCCAGCCTTATTCAAGATCCACTTTGCCAGTTGCAATAAAATATACATATTATGCGCAAGAGAGTATCTCTCAGTATAGGTCCTGCTAATGGCCTCGAAACTTTTACACAATCAATGCAAAATGTATGTGGTTTTCCAGGTAAAAGATGGTCTCAGGTACTGGCATTCACCAAAAACTAGAAGTACTACTTCAAATATAAAATTATAAAAAAACCTCACAAATATGAAGGAAATAGTTTTCCTCTATAAATGCTTACAGGGCATTTAATAAAAAAAGATGTGACTTGATGAGGTGGCAGATGAACACCCTCGATAAATACAGAAATAGAAAATCTGAGTCTATGTATGGATTTCTTTAACTGTTGGTATAAGTAAACAAATGTTATCCCCTGTTATAACCACAGGGGGTCACAATCACACTAAGAATAACTGCTTTGGGCATTAGTCAGGCACTGCGGTAAATTTAAATTGAGAAATAAATTCCTAAGGGTAATGCTAAACTTTTGCAAGCTTTGTCTAGATATTAATAAAATCATTACCAGGATTAAAGCTAGCCACCGATTTCAGCAGTTTCTGAAAGCAAACAAAATCTTTAAATAAAGATTGAATGAAAATACAGCTGTATATGAATTTTACTTTAATGTAAATATCATTGGAATTCTATAATTGTACTAGGTGGAAGAAGAAAGCAATTTTTATTTAGAAGAAAACAAGGTATTTTTGCAGAAATAGACATGTGTCTTGAAATTGAGTTGATATAGGTTGCTTAATAACTTCAGATGACACAATTAATAGGGGATATATGGTAGTAAAAAAAAGTCTGGAAATTAGAAATACATTCTTTTTAGCCAATGTTTTCTCATTCATGGCTATGTTCTTGACAGGTTTCAAATACTGAAATCTGAGGCCACATACAGCTCTAACCTCTCACACATGACCTCTTCCTTGTCTTTTTCTAAAGCCAGCAACTGATTCAAATGCCCAAATTTAACTCTTGCATTCTAGAATAAAAAATGGAAATAATTTAACCTACCTTAAACAAAGAGAGATTAGGCATTAGTCTTAAGTGTTTCACTTTCAGTCAGTGTTAAGAGATTTATTGATTCCTTCATAGCCAATGAGAAACAGGGTGTGGTTCACCACCCCTATATTAGAACAGAAATAGGACTTGCCTATCTCTTTCTTTTGACTATATTGAGACTGTCTCAGGATCAATACCTGTCTTCTAGATAGCACAGTTAAGTGAGTACAAACACTTCTATATTTGTTAAACTTTGCTTCACCAGAACTGCTTATGTGCACAAGTTGAGAAAAGAATAAAAAAAAAAACAAAACAAAACACAAAAAACAACAAGCTTGCAATTCAGATAATGTGGTCAGGTAGACTGTGTAAAATATAAATATATATGATTTTTACTGTTTAGGATTTTTCTTCTACCAAAAATTTGATTTCAAATCTGAACACAATAAAGTTGTGCTATTTTTTTCCAATAAACTGGAACACAAGTAAAAATCTTTTGACCTGTATTTTTACTTTTAATTCATCATTTTCCGCTTCTTTTCTTTGAATCTGACGCTGCAGGTGAGCTTGTACTTCCTTTACTGATCTTGACAGATGGTTTCCTTTCAGTGTGTTGATCTAAGAAAGAGAAATAAACACAAATCTATTGACCTATGGAGATATACTGTATGATGCTCTCTATATTGTTTCTACTTTGACATATTTTCTAACTGACATTTGAATGTCCTCAAAAGCTGGAAAAGATAAAACATGCTCTACAAGTATATTTGCAAGCAGTAGCTTGTTACTGTTAGTATTAATATTAATCAGAAATCGCAAACTTGAAACACTGTATGTATAATTGATGCCTCATATTTAATCTGACTTTAAGTAGTATGAATAAGGCCTGGAAGCATGAACACAAATCTAGCTAGCAGGATGACTAAAATTAAGCTACACTGATCAACTGTACTTCATTAAATTCCAAAGACCACCATCTGCTATTAAAAGTACTGATACATTTAATTCAAACTCTAATTTTAGGGGAATACATATATCATAATGGAAGAGGCAACTTTTGTCATCAGAACTCAGGTCAGGTGATTCTATGAAATTTCTTCCAACTTGATTCCTTTGGCTCATTCTAAATAAGAAATAATCAGGTAGAAAATTGTCATATTATCAGTATAGACCAAAAAAGCATTGAATGTTCCTGTGCAAGTGTTCATTATAGATGCCAGTAAGAAAGGCAGACTCAGACTCAATCAAGTATTGATGAAAATATCATTTATTGAAGATAACATAAGAGGGAGCATAGAAAGTCATTTATCCCTTCAGATGCTGGGTACCCCAAATTGTTCAACATTAGATAGATCTCTAGTCAGACCAAGGCATGCTACACAGATCCCGCCAACACTGAGGTCTGCTGGCATTGTGGTCTTCAGAATCTTTACAGGCTTTTCTGTTCAGCATTTCTATTTTCAAGCAAAAGGATGTTTCTATGAAAACGTGCTCCTTCACTTCAAGATAAAGACGAGGAGATGCCTAACTGTGAACATCATCTGTTTAGTTTACTCCATAATACTTGTTTAGTTTACTCCATAATACTTCTTTATAAGTGCTTTTTTTACAGAACTGTTGCAAATCAGCATATGAGAGGTCAAAAGCCCCACCAGTCTGGATGTGTGCCCTTCCCTGAACCTTGGGACATTAGTGTTAAGGATAACCTGTATCCTTACTAGGACTGGATACAGTCTTGATGGTCTTAAGATATTTCTGTAGGAAACATCTTTCAGGATTTTACTTTTTTCATACATCTTTGAAATAATTACTTTTCTCAAAATTTAAATTTCTAATTAAGAATCTAGTACATTGTAGGAAAACATTCCAATAGAACTGATCACTCACTTTTTCGCACTGAAGCATGGATGAAAGTTCTCTAATCTGTTTCTCTCTTTCAAGTATTTTTTTCCTGAGATTCTTCATGCAAAAAAATAACAAAGAAAGTATTTTAATGTCTGGACACAATAATGCAGCAATAAAGCACACTGATGAGCATTTCAGCTGTAAAACTAAGATTCCATTTTGTTATGATAAACCACAAATATTCCCACTTTGCCACTGTTACTTGAAATAGTATGACCCTGTGATGTAGCCAATTTCAGATATATGGGATAGATTAAAAAAATAAAATTTTAATTTACTTACTGTATTTTGAGTTTCATTTTCACTTAGCTTCTGTATCAAAGTGTCAATGATTTCACTGTTTAACTGCAACATAGGAAACATTAAAAATTACTTCTGATTATAACTGATTTAGCATTTTTTCAATGCTTTTAAATTGGTTACGTATCATTTGCTACATTTTCAAATCTGGTGCGTATGAATATAAAAGCTCGAATACTCACAAGCTACTTACTTAGTGGTTTAAACCTTAAAGATTCAATTTAATTTGTGCATAGAACTCTGTAGCTGAAGGAAACAAACTAGGCTTATTCCATACACCTACTTCTTTCTTAATTTTAGCTAAAAGGGCTTTAAATGTCATAAATAAGTGTTATTTAAGCACATAGTCAAATGGTAAAAGTATTTATAGAACTTGCAATGTTTCAAGGAGTAATAATAAGTCCTAAAGCCTTTCAGGAACCTCAGTTAGATAGGAGAATTTGAAGATTGAACCAGAAAGCATGGGATGGAAGATCACAAAAATCAATCTACATTAGCTCTTACTAGAAATTCAAAAGAATTTATGTGCCTGTGATATTGTCAACTAAACTTGCCATTTTAAATTGTCCAACTGTGTGTGTGTTGTGTAATTTCCCATTTAAAAGAAATAGACTTGTGTGACTTTCAGATTGTAAATTCCATTTCAATTTCACTAATGGGAGGATAAAAACTGACTCAAGCTGGAAGCCTCAGAATCAAAAGTTTTACTACAACTCCTTCATTTTATCCTGTCCTGCACGGAATTCCTCATAATATTCTGCAATCTCAATCCCATGCCTGTCTGTAAGTCAGTCCATGGACCTCAATTCTGCATCCAGATTTCAGCCTCTGCATGCACTGCAAACTTATAAATATTGTGTTCAGTAGCAGTCCTAACCTTTCCTGACTAAAGTGAGTCAGATTTGCTATCAGCAAAAAAAAAAAAAACCCCACATAAACAGGAATGCTGTTTTGTGACTGTATAGTAATTTATCAGAAAAAATTGAAGTACTTAGAAGACTTCCCAGAATTGAGAAGTGACTGGAAGCCTAAATTACTCATACCGTCTTTCCATTCTTAGGAAATTGTCTTCCCCACAGTTTGTTCTTTATGAACTTTCTGCCTTTTTGTTGAATGATCAAAGCCTCATGCTGTAAGAAAACTATTACCGTCTATGAAAACCTGAAAATCAAGAATATTTTCTTCAAAATTAAAAAATAATGTTCAGAATAAGCATACATTTTCATCAGCTTCTGAAAGAGAGTTAAGAAAGTCAGCAATGACAAATCACATTTAATTTTAAAAGAAATCTACATTCTTCACTCCACTGAGTTCGGTATGACTCTACTGTTATACAGAAATTCAATCTGATCCACCTCCTATTTTAACATATGTAGTTTGCCAAATTCCTTCCAAATTTTTAGGAACTTTCTTAGTGCCTAGGACATAACAAAAAAAAAATCTTCCCAATACGTCTGTTAAAGAAAATGACAAGACTAAATGTTTCTTTCACACTTCTGTAAAAAATATACATTTGCATTGATTCTATGTTTATGCCTTACATATTTTCCTAGGTGATGTTCTAGACTGTCAGATTCTTTGCTTTGATCAGTAAAATATTTTTTATCTTGGATGGCTTTTGTAGTTCTATGATAACCTTTTTTATGTGGCTGAATCAGTGAACAGAGCTTTCCTGTTTCTCCCAGTAGTACATATGTTTTTCCCTGAAATGGCATTCGTAATTACGTAACATTTAGTTTTACTCACAGTTAGGTCACTGATCTTGTTAATTCAAGCATATCAACATAAAACAAGTCAGCTCTTCAGGAGAATCCTTCAGGAGAAATTTTAAAGGTCAAAGAATCATTTAGGGCTTCCAAGAAGGGTAAAAGCCTGTGATATCACAGGATGTACCCTCAAACTGTTTGCTCACAGAACACACCTCATCTACAAGGCAAAGGCAAACAGTTTACCTCCAATGAAGGTGAAGGCCAAGACCTGCTCAGACATCAATGTTATTTTTCACAGCAGACTTCTTCCAGTTTGGAGGTGGCAATGGCTTTCCTCTTTTCACAGTTTGGCAAAGCTCTTCACCAGGCAGGGCTGCTCAGGAAAATGATGCTGCCCGTGTCATGGCAAGTCTGGAGTCATGTACCAGGCCTGCCACCTAAATGCACCCCATTCCCCCCCCCTTCCTTATTAAGGACCCTCAGTCCTTCTCCAAACGCCTCTCTTCCGCCTCTCCCCTCATGCACCAGCACGACTGATGCTCTCACCAAGCATGAAGTTGTCTGTGTACTCAGTGCTCCACTGACTACTCATTATTTTTTCAGAAGTGGATTGCATTGCCTTCTCCACCCACCATTTCTCCTGTGCTCAGCCTGTGCCAGGTGCATCTCCATCAAAACAATTTGTCAGTCTAAAGGTTTATATTCTTACCTCCATATTCTCCTTCACATGGTTGAGAAAATGAATAACAGAATTTGGGGAGTTCCCAACTAAAACGATCACTTCTCAAGAATGTGAATGCAGACTGCTCTGCTTCCACCTGTTGTCTTAAGGCAAATAAGTACACTCCAAACATCTAATGTTTTTTATTTTATATATATGTGTGTGTGTGTGCGTGTGCAAGCGCGTGTCTTGTTTTATTACAGGCTTACATTTCCCAGCAGACATCAACCTGTGTAACACAGTGCAACTCTGTAGCTTTTTCTTGGATATATAAACAAAACTAAGTTCTTGAATTTAATTACTTCCTGTGAAAACAGCATCTTGGAAGATTAAACATCGTGCTTCATTTATCATATATTATCTGTGTAAGCAGAAAAGAACAAATACAATTTTTTACATGGTTTCAGTATACTGTTGCTGTGTCCAGCACTGTCACCCATTTTTTGAAGTATCACCTACTTCCCCTCTAAAGCCAGGAAGAATATTTTGAATATTGTTAACAAAGTTAATAGAATTTAAAATATCAAGCCTAATAGGAACAGAATGAACTTGCCTCAGTAGCATGAGGAAGAATAAACTTTTCCTGAGGATCAAAGTCCACTGAAGGAGAAGTATAGTCATGTACAGGTAAAGACGAGGATGATTGTGATGATGATGACATTTTGTTTTAATGCTGTATAACAAGACAGTATATTTAAACATATATTGGCATTCTGTGAATCAGTAACTAAAACATTATTGGCATCCCAGGTTGTTCCCACTGCAGTGGGACCACTGTACCAGACCAAGTAAACCCCAGACACATTAGAGATGTAACACAGCCAATGCAACTGAAATCTTGCACACATATTCATAATTTACAATTGCTTAGGCAGCACTGAATTCACACAGTTGGTACATAGAAATCAAATCCCTCCATGGCAGAAAACTGAACACAAGAAGGAGGTAGTAAAACTCGCAGCTGCGAGTTCCCACTTCCATGGATCCCGGCACAGAAGGGGCACAGGACACCCAACGCCGGCCCCCGCCCCGAGCCCAGCCTCGGGCTCTCTCTCCTCGTCAAACGCCCCTGTACCCACCGCCTGCGGCTCCTGCTCCTGGGATGTCCCAGAGTGACCCCTCCCTCAGAACCCCTCCCGCTGAGCAGCGCCTCCTCAGCACCTCTCCCGCGGGACAGTGCCCCTCAGCACGGCTCCCGTGGGGCAGTGCTCCCTCAGCGCCCCTCCCGCGGGTCACTCCTCGTCCCCGGCGTCCCCACCTGCGCCCGCCGCCCCTCACCGCGGTCGCCCGCCGGAAGCCGTTGCCGCAGTAACGCGCCGCAGCCGTCGCCGTCGCCGTCGCCGTTGCCGTGCCGACCCCTCTCGGGCGGGAGGGGGCGGCGCCCTCCCCGAGCCGGCCTTGCCCGACGCTCCCCGAAAACACCCACCGCTCCCGCTTAGGAACGGCGATCTCCGCGGGCCTGCGGAGGCGGCATCGCCCCTTCCCGAGAGAACGCGGTCCATGCGGTTGGGATTCACAGGTGCCTCGGGAAGCGGCTGTGCCGTCACCGGCTGGTGGCGGTGTCCGTGCGCACACAGCAGGTTACTGTTAGACCCAGATGGACAAGAAACGTGGAGACCTCTGGGGAGCTTTGGAGCCTCTAGTTCATTTCTTTCTCCATTAATTTTTACACTTTTTTGTCGCAGGCTAAACACCAATTATTCATGTAACCTGACTGTATATGAAGCTGTTTTTTTTGGCAATACATTGTCAAATATTATAAAAAAGTCACGTATTTTTAAATAACACATTCTGCTGAAGAATGAACCAATTACTCCTGCATCACATCACAGGGGAAAGCACTATTGACACTTGAGGTGGCACTTCAGTGAATATCTGAGACACTGCAATAGACGTATGGAAAGATCACTTTCAGATAATGAAGTGTGCAAAACAGAATCATCATGTAATATAAATATGATCACTTGTACAGATGCATACGTACATACATATAGACACATACGTAGACACATATGACCATATATAATTATAATTTGCAAGTTTTGTTTAGAAAAAGTCATACTGAGAGAAATGTTACTTTTTAATGTGCCAAGTAAATATCAGCATTAGCAACTCATATTAAAAGAAAGCTTGAGATAAATAATCAAAATAAAACATATCATTTGGCATAATTATAAATGTGCCAGTGTGTCTGTATTTTCTTCTATTGCTGGCAATGGAATTTCAGGGAGCATTTTCACTTTATACACTCTTTGGAGAATATTATCTAGTCATGTGTGCCTAGTAATAAAAATAAAAATAAAAATAAAATGCTAAATTTTAGCCTCTGTAATACCAGCAGACATGAAATCACTCCATCATCCATTCTAGAGTGAGTGCCTGGTTGTACCTGAATTCGAAGGGAGATTTTGTCTTTGCTTGTGCAAAAGGCCTAACGCTTTGTTCTCTATAGGACCCAGAGCCTGGAACTGAGAATTCACCATCTCCAACACACCTTTGCTTTGGCACTGCAGTTACGAGCTGTGACTTTGGTATCTTTTAGTCACCTCAGATAGAACTTGATATAAGATTGACTTATTTTTAAAAGAATAAATTGTTGCAATTTTCTAAAAATTTGGTGATTGCTTATAAAATATAAAGCACGAACTATCCATCAGTGAGGGCTAATTAGCATGATAAGTAGCATTGCACTCTGTATACGGTAAACAAAGAATGAATTACAAGTTTCAGTCCTCAAACCCACATTTTAATGACAGTGGAATAATCCACAGAGTGGAAAATTTTTAGAGTAAATATGACACACACTTCCACAATGACATAATTACGGGCCTTATTAAAAGAGATATGGTGGAGAGAAGCTTCTTTAGATACTCCAAGAACTCCGCTCAGTGTTTGTCACAGCTCATTACTTCATCTGCTCTAAAGGTATAACTGAACCTTTCATTTCCATGTCAGAAATTCAAGATTCCAATGTTTTTCTTTGTTCCTTGGTTAATTTTGGCAATAGCCTGCTATCACAAAAGCTGCAGATTTGCTGTGACCCTTTCAATACGCTTTTCCTTCCTCATCCCTGTATGCACTGCTTGGTGCAATACTAACCACAACTTATTCCTCCCAGCAATTCTTAGACGCTGCCTTACACAGAAGTATGTATCCTGCAAAGACAGTGATGGCAACATTTTTGCAGTAGTCTATCGTGTGGTGGCAGTGACATCTAGTGGGCTCCAACAACACTTCCAGTTTTCCCAAATGTTCCAAAAATAGGTCAAATCATCTCTTTTTAGGATGCTCTGACCTTGTTATAAAAGCATTTTTAAAAGTACAATCAAATATGAATAGTCGGAGGTCGAATTTAGTAATTAAGGCTGACTTTTACTTTAGGAGCATGTGGAAGATTTATTTTAATTAGGAGCTGCAGTTTATGGAGCTCTCTTGATAGCTCTGAAGATAGCTCTGAAGAAGTCAGTTCAAGTAATGCAGGATTCAGCACTCCCCCAGACACCTCTGCAAAAAACAGAAAAACTTTGCTCTGTTGTGCTTCCTGAAAAGCATGTGCAAAATGACAGGGTAAGACTGTTGGATTTCCATGACTGTTTATATAAACAGTATATCTGTTGAAAAGCTATGTGGGCTGTAGTCTCACTGGGTGACACAACTGCCACATGCCAGTTCAAACTAGATATAAAAGATGTGATAGTTGATGTCAAAATCGTATAAGCTATGTTCCTCAATGTCTTCCCAATATTCTTAAAATAATTTCAGCTTCCAGCTTCCTACACAGACTTCACAATGTTCCATGAAGAAGGTAAGTTTAATTATTCCTATGCCACATGTGGAGAAATTGTAGTACCATGTATAAAATTACTTTCTTACAGTAATTATTAGCGAAGTGGTAAAGCTGCAAATATACCTCCAGTCATTAATCTATTATTGCACACTAAAAGGAAGAAACTCCAAGTTTATTTCTATTTCCACAGAGGCCAGTTCCTCCAAGTATAAGGCAGACAACTTCTTCTGAGATAGACAGCTGGGATATAGGACCAAATTATTATCTTCCTGCTCCAGGAAGTACAATATTGAAAGGACAAGGACCATAAAAACAACACATGATTTACCTAGACCAGTTCCCTGAAATTTCAGGACTTTTGCCTACTGAATGTTTTGCCAGTTGTTGTTTGCAGTCCTAGTACAACTCCAGTTTGAGTGTTAGGGGAAGCACAGCAACAGCTGCCACGAGGACCACTGAAGGAGTGCACCAATGTGAAAAGAAGCATTAATTCTCACTCAGCTGTAGTTTCTGAGCGGAAGTGTGCTGTTGAGAACAGCTGCTTTCTGGTTCTGTCAAACCAGTCCCCAGATTTTTCATGAAAGCCTGATTGTACACAGGCCAGGCAGCTGGAACAACTGATTTTATAATCTTTGCCTGGTTATTATCAAGCTAAGCTCACAGTTGTTAATGCTGGCAAAGAATCTATAGACTCACACACAAATAAATGTCCTTACCTATTCTAGTAAAACAAATTTTGCTTATTAAATAAAGGTAAAATTTAATAAGTTTATTTTAAATTGTGTATTCTGCTCCTTTTATTTTTATATGTCTTTTCTGTACATTAATAAATGTTAAATCAAATTTACACACATTTATCTTGAAAATCTGGTTCCAGGATTCCTAATATTCTTCAAAGTATTAGGTGGAGTTCTGCAGAGTTGTGACTGGTAATACATTGCCAGAACTCTTAACTTCCCACTGTTATACTGCTTTAAAAGATTATATAAATACATAAATGTTAATAAAACATATGTTTTATGCAAATATATGCTGCAGTTACATATTCATGAGTGGGAAGAGAAGTAGTATATATACACATAGTGACACATGAGCCATAAACCTCAGCGTATTATAGAACTAAATAAGTATGAATTCCAACATGGGCACTACATTATTGACATTAGATGGGCTACCAAAATGTGTTTGTTTCATTTACAGTGTTTTCACAGGATATAAACTGGCTTAAGAAGGCATTTCTGGGATTGCCTTTTTCAAATCTTTGACTCCAAAGACTTTGGTTTAAACACCACCTTCCCATACAGTCGTAAAACAGTATTGGGATTCATCTGAGAATCATTTCAGTTATAAGCTATTATTCATTATATAAAAATATTTTATTTTAATTATACTATAAACCTTTATATTAATATAATTTTGGTTGGTTGGTTGGTTGGTTGGGGTTTTCTATATGAATTCTATTTCTAGTCATAGGAAGGAATGTTTCAGGGTCTGTTTATATCCATCAGTAGAATGCTGTAAAAGGTTATTTCTTCTTTTTGGACATGTTATAAGCAAGGCTGAAGATCAGATAGTAAGCAAAATATGGTGTTCACCACACCTGCTGGTGTATTGGTCTCTTTTTAATTGTCAGAGATCAGGGACATGACATGCTTTAATTTCTTTTTTGGCCTGAGACAATTTTTCAGCCTGACAATCTTATGGCTCCAGTACTTTTACAAGTAACCATCGCTGCTGTCTACCCTGCACTTCCAAAGGCAGCTACTGTTTGATAGCGTTCCTGAAGCACAGCTCCTCAGTCCTTGCAGCTTATCACAGTGAGTTTGGGTATCTCTATACACTGTGCATTCTTTGAATATACCTTCAGCACTCTCCACGTCAGTATCTGGCTTATAACTAAGCCTGTGTGCTAGGTATGGCTCTCCTTACCTGAGCCAGATATATCAGTTTATGCCTAACCCAAATCCCTGACAGTCATGTTTTTGGCTCTGAATAGCAGTTGTAGAGAGGGACCGCATTTCCTACTAGAACCAGGTATTGAAGCTTCCAATAAAGACAGGGCAGACAGCCTGCATTTGGTAATATCCTAAAATGGCAACAGCAATCTCCAAGATTCAGTTGTTAACACCTGAATGTCTGTTCCTTCTCGGACGCCAAAAAGAAATTCCAGAGTTTGTCCTGAACAGTATGTAATAGGCCTACAGCATGCAGAGAAAGGGAATGTCAAGAAAGAGAGTAATTCAGTAGTGTTTTAAGAGCAGTAGAATACCACGGAATTCAGGAAGCATAGAGTTCTAGGTTGTGATCCAATAACTGAATTTATTTTTACATGAAAGGATAAAATGGGGAAAAAGTTATCTGAACTGGAGTTTTATATGAAATATGTAAACATGCAGTAGAACAGATCTTCCTCTTGAATAAGTGCAGCAATCATTAGTCTGAAGAGTAATTTTATCCCTCTCACT